ATTTTTTCATCTTCTATTTTTTCTTTTCCCTAAATTTTTTTTTTTTTTTTATCCTCCATGTGAAACAAAAGTCCCAAGAATGGGTTTCCAACCTGTATTTAACAATTGGTTCTTTCTGCTTCAGTTTGAGCACAACTGTCCTGTGGCCACACCTGATTTCCAGGGTGAGGATGTACAGTACTGGGAAGAACAGGAGTTTTTCTGAACTGCCTGACTGACGCTGTCATCTGTACCTGAGGATGCCCAGAGGAAATGGGGACTGGGTGCTGGGTATGACTTTCGCCTTCAGGGTGGAGTTTGGAGCTCAAAGGGCAGAGTTGCATGCAACTGAATGAAGTCATCTGGGAAAACAAGTGAAGACAAAAGGAGCTGAAAGATGGAGAATTCTAGAGTTAGAGATTATGAAGGCAAAGAAAAGCCAGCTAGAGAGACCAAGAAGGAACGTGAAAAGAAGGAAAGCAAGGAAGTCAACCCCAGAAGTAAACGATTGAGAGTGGTTCAGGAGAGACCCAAGGTGCTTTTCTGAATGTTCTGTGTGCTCCTGGTGCGCACAGCTAGGGTCTTTAGGGCTGTCTGCGGATTACTGGAGAGAGTGGGGTATTGCTGTTCTCACCTCTGGAGCACCTGGTGTTTCCCAAAAAGAAAACTGCCGGCTTACTCCTCCAGTTAGTCAAGCATGAGTGAGATCTGCCCTTGACCTACTTCTTCAAACTGGATTATTAGCTGTTCTTCATTTTTACTAATCTAGTGAATATAAAAATTTTATCTCAATGAGATTTGATGTTTCCCTGGTTACCAGTGGTACTGATATAACCTTTATGGTTGTTTATTACCCATTGGTTTCCTCTGCTGTGAAATGCTTTTTTCACATTCTGTTCTTTTATTATTTATAGAAATTCCTTATATTGTATAATATCACTTTTTTTGATATGTGTTGTTTCTCCTAATTTATGGCTTATCTTTTGTTGAGTAGTTTGTAAACAGCATAATGTATTAGTCTTTAATGTGATTCAGGTTTTCACTTTTTAAAAATAAACTCAAGTAGCTAATAATAATTGGTTATAATAGCATCTTTCTACTTTAAAACCCTATTTTTAATTCAGAGAATTTAATGTGTTATTTTAGGGGGAGTTAACTTTACATGCTACATTTCCTTAATATCCTCTATTTTGATATTTTCTTAAAGTTGCTACATATAGTTTCACAATTTATTTTTGATACCTACCATTATTCTATGATTGGTATCATTTACTCTGGTTGTAGTTTCAAGATGTTTTCTCTGTGTAACCTAAGGCGAGAAGATAACTTATGGTCTTTGTTTGAAAAGTGCACATTTTATATGTGTGTGCTCTCTGTGGAACTGGTGGTTGTGGTTGGTTTTTCTGATCCACTTTCACTGTTCTGTGTATTTGGCTGTCTAGCACTGTTCCTGAGTAGTTCAGCCCTTCCCTCCAAGTTTGAATACGGCCACTTCTGTGAGTTTTAAATTGTGGTAAGATGTACTTGAGAAAAGTAACCATTTTAGACATTCGGAAGTGTGCAGTTCCTTGATGCTAGTGCATTCATGTTGTTACACAGCCTGCACCCCCATCCACCTGCAGATCTGCCTCCTGCATAGCAGGTCTCCTCTTTCCAGACTGAAACTCACCGTGATCAGATGGTACTGCCGTGCTCTCCTGCCCTGAGCCTGTTGTCATTGCCCTGATCCTTTCTCCCTGTATGAATTTGGCTTTTCTGGATAGTTCATGTAAATGGAATCATGCCGTGTTTATCCTCTTCGCATAATCTCTAGCTTCATCAGGGTTGCATCATGTGCCATAATTATTTCCCTTTTTAAGGCTAAATAATATTTCACTTTATCTTTGTGTGACATGTTTTTCTTGTGTTGATGGGCACTTATGTTGATCCCCCCCTTTTAGCTGTTGTGAATAATGCTACTGCAATACTAATAACTTCAAATTTTGGCTTTTAAAAATTTTTGTATCTAGAATGGGAATTGCTGAATCGTACAGTAATTCTGTGTTTCATGTTTCTGAGGAACCACCAGCTGTAGTCCATATTTTATATGTCTTACCAGCAGTTCAGAAGGGCTCATGTTTGTCCACTTTTTGCCAACACTTATTTTCTGCTTTTTTTTTTTTTTTTTTTTCCCTGAAAGCCAGCCATTCTAATGGCTAAGAAGTCAACTCCCATCGTGGTTGTGGTTTTCATTTCCCTAATGATTAGTAATGAATATCTTTTCATATTCTTCTTAATTACTTTACTTTTGGAGAAATGTCTATTCTATTTGAGTCTTTTTTGTGTGTGTTTGTTTGTTTGTTTTTTGATGGTCCTGGGGATCGAACCCAGGGCCTTCATACTGAACTACATCTCCATCCCTTTTTATTTTTAATTTTGAGACAGTGTCTCCCTAAGTCACTAATTTGCCCAGGCTAGTCTTGTAGTCTTCCTGCCTCAGCTTTCCAAAGTACTGAAATTAATTTGCATTTTTATGGCTTGATTTGATGTATTTTTTAATTAGTATATGTTTGTGATACATGATAATTACATTCATCTTGGAGACTTCCTACATACACATATTGTATCTTAATTTTAGTTCCTCTTCCTGCCCACTTCCCAGCCCCCCCATCTTTACGTTTTATTTTGCATTTTAAATATTTATATTTTGAATTGGGTTTTTTGTTTTGTTTGTGCTTTTGTATTGTGGTTCTTGTATAAGAGATACATATCAGATGCAATTTACAAATCTTTTACTGCATGCTGTGGGATGCCTTTTCACATTGCTAATGTTCTTTGCCCCAAAATTTGAAAATTTGATGTTGTCTTATTTGTGTTTTTGCTCTCCTTGCCCGTAGTTTGATGTTGTGTCCAAGATGTTACCAAATCCATTGTCATGAAGATTTCCTCTAAAATTTTTATCTTAGCTCTTGTTTAGATCTTTGATCTCTTAAAGTTAATCTTTATAAATGGTGTCAGTTACAGTCCATCTTCATTCTTTTGCATGTGCATATCTATCTAGTTTTCTTAGCAGCTGTTGAAAAAACTGCTTTTCTCCATGAAATGGTTGTTGTATCCCTCTTAACCCTCTGATAGGCTTTAGTTTTGGGATTTTTTTTTTCTGTTGATCTCTGTTTCTGTCTTTGTGTCATTTCCATGCTGTTTTGATCATTGTATTGTTTTTTCCATTAAGTTTATTGATACATTTAAAGCAAACAGTACAGTTACATTTATTTTGGGGATCATGATATATCTTGGTTCTTCTTTGTTCCCCATACTCCTGCCCTCCCTTCACCCCCTTCAACCTTCCCTATTTACAAAGAG